GAAACAACAAGGACGTCTGCTGCAGCCTCGTATTTACTGCCAACCTAGCAAAAATATCCGCAACATAAAATGAGTTTGGACCTCAGATTAGGGGGCATAGTAGGAGATATTTACCTGCTCTTTAATATCAGTCGAGATAGGAAGAGAGGACATGAAAGTTCACTGGGAAGTTGTGGAGTAAATGGAGCAATTTAATTATTGTGAAGCACATATATAGGAGCTACAGTCTGTACCCACTAAACCTCCTTTCAAGTGGTACTGCGTAAGGGGTGGGTAATGTGAATATCCGTTGAGAAAATTGGGTGATGGCTGTGGTGATGGGAACTTCCTATCGTGAGAGTTTTGGCTGAAGACCAGGTGATGGAAATGACTTGCTTTAAGTACACCAAGATCTTGTAGGAGGATTAGACTCGGTGGGCATTTAGGAAGGGGCTTTTACATTATACCTCTTAATAAATGATTGAACTGGTTATAGTTTTTCCTAAGACCATGTAGTACGAGGTAAAATTTGCCTGGAATGGACATACTGAAAGTAATTTTATCTGTGGTATTACCTTCGCAGTTTGATAAGAGGATAGCTGTGCAACATTTAATATTATGGTATACATTTACAGGAAAATGTAATGATACTACAATAATTAAAGAAAAACTATTCAATGATGTATGGAACAAATCTTTTTAGGCAAAAAATAACCTCATGAATAAAGAAAATAGTTAGCAATGAATATTACGCAGGAATCGGGTGGGGGGGGGGGGTGTCTGAAGAAATGTTTTTGGATTTGTAGGAATAGCTGGAGTATTAGAGGGGTGCAGTTACTTTTTAAACTACACAAATACTTTCATTTATATAATTTGTGATGGAAAATAAGATTCATTCAATGGAAAAGGTATTTGAAAGATGGGTACGTGTTATCCAGAGGAGCACACCCTTCAGAGATCAGGGTATCATATGAACCCAAAAACCCAAACCTAATCCCCCTTGTACCCCCCATTATTAGCACTTTATAACTTGCAGAAAAACAACATTAAGAACTCTGGCTGCGTGAATGTATTGTGGACTTGGTCTCTGAGCAGTGATATGCAGCGGTTATTTTCATTATTTCGCTGTAAATATGAGGTTGCTGCATTTGTACCTGTGGTGTTTATGCGACTATTTCTTATGCTTTATAAGATAATGGTGTCCTTCGCTCTTGGTAACTTAATGAAAAAAGGCACAATTATAATTTTTGATGGCTGTGTGATACTCAAAAATTACTTCCTATTCCTGCCCTCTGTCACCAGCAGTGCAGTATGTATTACAGAAGTTTTAATATCAAGAAAAAAAAAATGCCTAACAAAATGCTGATAAGTAGTTTTGAGTCTGGAAGGTAAACTTTCTAATACCATCTGGATAATATAATGACAAATATAGAAATTGGGAAATGGCAAAAATACTAAAAATGCTTGTGCAGAAAGCGAAAGTAACATTGCAAAGGGCAGGTATGGAGTCTTGTCAATGCACTCAAGTGTAGGGGTTCACCTAGCCTACAACCAGCACACCTATTAGAGTAGCCATTTTCCCATGTGTAGGCAGTGAAGTATCCAGATCCAAGGGCTTAAAATAGCCCACATGCAAGGGATCAGGAAACTTTGTTGCTGTTAATCCAATGCTGCAGGCTGGTTTCCCAATGTGAAAGCTCTCTACCAGGCTGTGTTGATAGTGGTGTGGGCCACACTGCTGAGGGATCGTGTCGGCATGATAGTGTGCGTGGCGTGACTGAACATGCCCCTGGTAAATGGGACTGGAGCACCATTGCACACACCACCCGGAATGTAGTTCAGGCATTCCATGGCATGTACATACATGCCACCCAGTGGCAAAGGGTCAACAGGCATCATATGCTGATCTTTTCATTAATTCCTTGGATCCAGGTACCTTGCTGCCCACACTGATAACCTTCTGGTGTGGTTTATATGCCATGCACCATAGTAGATTCCTTGCCTCCCTTTACAATATTCTCTTTATCACCCCCCCCCCCCCCCCCAGGAGAAGAGGATTTGGTAGCTCTTGTTGTGAATTAGAAATTAAGAGGAGGATTTTGGGTATATTAATAATTTTAACAACAGAGCTGGTAATGTGTTAGGAACTGTGTATGGCTCATTACTTATGCAAGGAATAGCACTGTATTTGAAAGGTAAAGATATTGACCATTTATAAAATCAGAAATGTAACCACTTCAGAAATAATTTTTAAGTTTGGAATTTAGAAGTCAGAAAATGTACTATAACTAAAATCTAATTGATTACCCCAACAGTGTAAGGACACCTGGAGGTCGCTTGGTGTACCAGTATGTAAAGAAACGCGGAAAGCGTGCAGCTTGCGGTAACTGCAAGAGAGAGCTTGCAGGTGTTGTTCGCTGCCGTCCTTACGAGCTCAAAAGAATGCCCAAGTACAAGAAGAAAGTGAGCCGTGCCTATGGTGGTTCTCTTTGCCATACATGTGTTCGCGAAAGGTAAGATCATGGTTTTTCAAATAGAATATAGTATAATGTTAAGATATGGGCAAGAATTATCTCTGTACTTTTATTAATGCCTCTTTAAATGGGGATGATTATTTTAGTAGAGGTGAAAAGGACAATGAGCAAGTCATTGTAAATTGGGCCTGAAATTTTAACCTCTCTTTCAGGGTTGTGCGTGCTTTCCTGATTGAAGAACAGAAGATCGTGGTTAAGGTACTCAAGGCACAGAAAGCTGCTGCTGCTGCTGCAGGAGGATCTAAGAAGTGAATTGAATAAAGAGGAGAAAAAAAGTAGTTTCTATCATTAACCACTTTTAAAAATTTGATTACCCAAAGGGTGAGGAAAAAGAGCACACAAACTGTTTTGAGTTAAAAAGTTTGTCATTTTTCCTTAATTCCTGGTGGGTACATAGTCAACAGTACTTTTTGTGAACTGTAAGTGCACATGTATGATTCCACAAGTGCTCATCTACCAGTGAGACCATTTGTATGCTTTGTGACCTTGTCTGATTTCCTTCTATTAAGGGTTCATTCATGTAAGCTTGGGTTGCTGTATTTGATACTGTAATATATATATATTTTTTCTATAGTGAGGCCAATCAGCAAGGCTTTTTTTGGAAGTTAATATTGATTATTGACACATGATATAGTTAATATAGTTAGCAACTAAAACTAGAAAATGAGTAAAAGGTTAGAGGTGATATTGGTGGATCTAATTCATTCATTGGTAATTTGAACACAAATATTAAAATTGCAATGTCCATGGCAAGTTTGCCACCCTGACATCAGAGGGTCAAGTGCTTATTGAGAATCAAAATCGTGTCTCATAAATTTAAATTGAAGAACCGGTAAATTATGGACTTTAAAATCTATTATTGCTCTTCATAAAAGCTAAGATTTTTTTTTTAATAGATTGTATGTAGGTAAGAGACCAGTCAATTATTTATTTTCCACTCCTTTTTCATAACTATCCATTCAGTACTTGTTTGACTAGTAAACATTAATCAATAGGGTTTACTTAATTTTGTAAAATATTTCCTTATTTCTGCAGTCCATACTGATATATATCTTTTACTAATGCTATGAATATTGGTGGTGTTATTTTTATTATAGACATTATAATTACTAACAGCAAAATATAACGTAAAATATTTTCATAAATCAATGAAAAGGGTGAATGGGCGAGACAGGCGGTACTCGTAACTGGCTCATTGATGATTTAGTACAAGTGTAGCCATTTGTGTAAAAACAAGTAAACTTTCAATGGGCATGGCACGTACGTACATGCCATGACCGTCTGCAAGGGGTTAAATTACTAATATCACCTTGAAAGGTAAGGGGGCTAAGACCTTGGGTATTGGTTATTTCAATTTTTTTTTATTGTTTTCAATAATGGGTAATGCTTTAAAACTAAACCTCAAAGGTCATATTGTATTATGGTGAAAGAAGTTTAGGACATTGTTCAAATAAAGAATATCAAAGTTCAATGGCCATGGTACTTATAAGATGGTATAGTATTGAGGCCCAATGTTAAGGCCACCTTACCTTGGTTCTCAACCTTGCTCAACAGATTTTGCATGACCCTTTCTTCTTTCTTTACCTTGCTCGTTGTTGGGATATTACACATATTCACATTGCAAGAGATGTATACAGTATTCACTCGTTCATACCTTTCCTGTGTTTGCCGCAGTGGTTAATAGTTTATAAATGAACAAAATCTGCTTTGTGTTACTTGTGTGGACGTCTTAAAGATGCCAGTTGATCATGCCTCCTTATATGGACAGCCCTTATGGGGAAAAGTTGCCCTTCTAGACAAACAGGCACACTTCATGATGGGCAAACTGTCAAATTCTTTTTCATTATATATGGCACAATACTTTATCATAGTACTACATGGCCTTTGTTTGATGTCTAACACTTAATTGTTTGGACAACATTGAGTACTTTTGTGCTAGGATGGAATTTTTTTTTTTTCTTCCCCCTTGCTCTCATGAACTTGAGCCAGTCAGTGAGATTTGGCTTTTGCTAATTACTAATTTACCCAATTCACTTTCAGCTGCCGAAATGGTTTGCTATCTAACAGGGACTCCCTAATGTATTAATAATGTTTATGGGTTGCTATAATCTGTTGCTTGTAATGCTGCATCAAATACAAATTGTGAGCTATTTTCTTCTTCCATTTACATTTTCATTGGCTTTACTCAAATTTATTTTGTGGTGGTGTACAATGCACATTTTTTTTTTTTTTTTTTTTTTTTTTTTTTAATAGTTAGGAGTTTGGATATTACATTCTGTAATTAAAAGGTTGAATGATCAATTAGCAAGTAATTTACTGTTGGTAGCTTAAAATTGGAAAAAAATTTCAATGCCAGTATATTCAACTAAATGAGCACTTTTCCCTCTTCTATAAAGTTATCACATAATATACATTTTTCGATAATTCCAGCTAGACTTTGGTGTCTGGTTTAGTTATTACCAGTTTTCTGAAGGATAATGAACTTAATTTAAAAGCACTGCCACTTTACTAACAGACTTGCTAATCAAAACCATTATATTTACACCATATTAATTACATATATTTCATGTAAAAAGAAAAAAAGAAAAGAAAAAACAAAGATTTAAGAGAAAAAAAAGGGAAAAAAATCTGAAATACATGATTTTTTCTTTCCTAAAGATGGTAATTACTTTTTTTTCCAGAGTAATGCAAGTTACAGTTTGAATATCCCCAAATTTCAGCATCCTCTTTACTTCAGCTGATTCAGGTGTTCCTCGTGCCTTTTGATGGCATCTTTGTGAGCCTGCACTTGCTCCTTGTGGAATTCAATTTCCTTGTGGAGGCCCTTTCTCAACTTTTTCAGTTGTTCTTGCTCCTGAAATAAGATATTTTTTCTTAAAAAACTATTTATAACTATCATTTATTGTACACAATCTATATTTTTTGTATGAAAATGTTCTTATATTCCTATCCTGTGAAATGATAGCAAACTGTTCAGTCCCTTGAAAATCCACATTAGGCCATAAAATGGCAGAGCATGCAAAAACTTTATATTCCTCAATACTTTTTTTTTTTATATTACCCTATTAACCAGACCACAACACAATTATGAAGAATAATGATTGAAGAGAAAAAGTACAAGTTATGAAGACAAAACTGGCAAGATAGAATTATTTAATATCTTAACTGGGATGGAAGGGTTGGTGATGCAGATGAAGCAGGGGGTAGGATGGAGTGTGTTGGGAGGGACTGGGAGGAGAACTTGAACAGGAGAAGGATGGAGATCAGCTATCACTTAAAAGTGTATGGGGAGTGGGAGCTGAGAGAATGGATGGTGGATAAGGGATAGGCAGGTTATCTTGGACCATGATTTGAGTGTCTCAAAAGTTTCTAAAATGAAGTTGGTTGGTCAGAGAAATAATGGTTTTCTTATGAGAGGACAGACATTTGAGGGGCAGAGAAGAGGTAAGGTGTAGTAGAGGATGTGGTAAGAGAATATGGGATGGAATATTTAAATTGATGAGGAAGAGGAGGGGGGGGGGTAGGCACCAGGGAAGTAGAGATTAGAGTGAAATTAGAATGACATACAAATATGACTTGGAGAGGGAGGGGGAAGAAGTGAGAATGTAAGGAGGAGATATTGGGAAGAGAAACATCTTGGGGAGAAGGTGGAGGGACAGACTGAAGGTTAGGAACTGAGCAGGGAGCAAGAGAAAAACCTTTTCAACATACTTCTTACTGCGAGGCCAAGTTTGAATCCAAGGACTACCTCAGACTCAAACTTGTAGGTAGGGCAGCCCCTATAAAATACATTTTGGAAACCACCACATGGGCTATGGGAGGTGATACAAAATGGGTATGACCAGGTATGTTGACATAAGCAGGTCCATCAGCTTATGTCAACTGGCAAGAGTAACTGGAAATAATGGCAATTCTTTGTGGTAGAAGGGGGCACATAACACAACTTCACAGAAAAGAAAGGAAATATACTAAAAATAAAGTACAATACATTATGGAGAAATAAACAACCTAGATATCCATACCACCAATAAAACAAAGGGTGTACCAGAAGCTAAAAACAAGAGCAACCTCAATACAATTATAATGAGGACAACGCACAGCAGACTTACAATATCCATAAGGATGGTGTAAGAATAGTGTGTCAAGAGTATGGGGAGCTCAACTTAATGAAAAGTACAAAGGTAATAAGCATGATAAATTGTACAGGTTATGGAGTAAGACGTCTAAGAGGACTATAAAGTCTAAGCAACAGTGATCAGATCCTGCATAATCATGAAGAGTAAGGAGTAAACTTCAAGGTATTGCTGAACACAAAAAGAGACAATACATCATATGAATAAAGAGGAGGCCTGAGGACTGCCTCTAAGAGTATGTAAGGCTCTAGTTGCAGAGTAGATAGGAGCCCCTTTACCATATACAAGGGTGTTTGCTCTGGGATGTTAGCAAAAATGTGGAAAAATAAATGGCCAGACTGCCTTGTTGGCGCACACTACATCTAACCAGAGTGTAGGCTGCACTTGCACAGAAGTTGTTACCAAAGCAGACACACCATGAGTAAACAAGGAATTATGGGCAGAGCTACAAGCTGTAGTGGCAAAGTGTGAAATATTCTGCCCAAAGACTAGTGGAGGTGGAGGTGCACACCGCCTACAGTGCTGTCCTCTTAACCCAATGCCGATGGGCATGACATGTACATGTATGCCATGCCCAAAGTGAGTTTACTTCTTTAACTGATTTTACACATAGATGGCTACACTTGCATTAAGTCACCAATGAACCAATTACGAGTACTGCCTGTCTTGCCCGTTTATCTTTTTCTTTGATTTATGAAAATATTTTACATTATCTTATTTTGCTGTTACTAAGGTTTATAATATAGTAATTATAATGTTTATAATAAAAATAACACCATTAATATTTATAGCACTAGTGAAAAATACATTTTTTCCCACCAATTCAAATCAGGTAAGGTCAGAAGGTCTACCAATTGACTACTTTTTGCTAAGCACTAGCAAAACTATCTATGTGCAGACACATTTCACAAAAAATATAAAAAATGAGCACAGCATTTTCCCCATTTTTTATTCATTTTCCCCAGAGGCATTGGGTTAACTAGTGAGGGAAGTGGTATCCAACCTTTTCTAATACCCTCCCCCCCATCACTGAAGGACACATTCCCTGCATCCCCCCTTCCTTAAATAAAGTTTTACTGCCATAGTCAGGTTATGTATTAGAAAACTTTCACTAATAACTAATTACCCTTTCAACAGGCCTTTGTGGTTCCCAAAGAGGTGTGCCCTACAGGATGGAAACCACTGAGCTAGGGCCACAATCTACAGGCCCAAGGAACAATTAATGCTGCTGTTATTGTTCAGGGAACAACCACTAGTTGTTAATGAGAGATGTATCAGTGGAATGAAATAAGCAAACGCAAAGCAACTAAGCAAACAGAAAACACCCTCTCACCCAGGAAGAAAATAAATAAAGAGGAAGAAAAAACCTGAGAAAGGAAAACAACTCCTATCCTTACCCTCCTTGAAACTACAATCACAACCCTTGTCCCTTGGTACATCCCATCCCCCTAAACAGGGTGTCAATGGAAAAGTATACAAGAATATGTATACTCAGGGAAGCAAAGACTAACAAAGGGAGCAGATAAAGATCAGTATTAATATCATAGTCTCACTTCAATTTCATTTTTAACACCCTACGATCCGGACCACCATGTCACGAAAAGATCTAGCTTAACCCAATGGCGCCAGGTGTACAAAAGGAAAAAAAAAAAAAAACTACGCTCTAGCAAACAAAGGCGCCGACTTTGAGCGTGCGAGTACGGGACGTCAACCCTATCACTGGCTCGCCGCTGTTTGGAGTGCCGCCGGCTCGTTTGGTTGCACGCCAGCTTTCGAGCGCTTTGTTTACACGCCTATCGGCGTGACCCGGCACCAAGGGGTTAAGGAGAGGGAGATGTGAACATGCCATCACGGGAAAATCTGGGTGTGGGCTGGAGTGAAGCGAACTTGCCATCACAAGCATTTCAGCTGAAGGCCGAGGCAATGGGAAAGACTGGCCACAGGTGCACAAACCTCTTGAAGGGTGATTAGAGTCATTTGGCATTTAGAAAGGGGTTTTTGTATTCTTTCCATCTATAAGTGAGTCTGGAATGTAATGTGTTAAAAAAGCTAAAATTGCTTAAGCATAAAAAGAGAGAACATTGCAAAGGGGAGGTAGTCTTGTCAGGTGTATGCCTGATCTACAAGCCATGGACTCAGAATGGCCGATCACATAAGCCTTATGCCCATATTTTGGGACATGTGATTGCCATGGAGCAACCAGATCCAATGAATTAACTGCCAAATGTACATTTATTTACATATTTATATTGTAATGTTATCATAACATTTTATGTCCTCAGCCTGGTGTAAAAAAAAAGTGCCTTCAAGAAATTCATTGAAATGAGACACTAGAAAAGATTTATTATTTTAAACCTTGTTATTCAACTATCCTCCACAGGTTTGCCATCTGCTGATAAGACATCAGACAGAACTGTGTGCAGTTTGGCTCCTTTGAATTTAGCTAGGCCTTAACAGACTAAATACTGTGGTAGAAATAACATCTGATTATGGTGCTAACTCCCTTGCCTTGCAATTCCACACCACTTCATTTTTTCATATTAGTTTGTACAAAGGTAACGATACTTATTTTTCTGATTGTACCCCCCCCCCAAAAAAAAAAAAAAAAAGGAAAAGGTAAATAACTAAAATAAACAGGATTAACAATGGACTCCTTGGTGATTAAGCACACAGAGCCATTGATATGTAAATACAATAAACTAAAATCAGTGGGCATAGCATCTACATACAAGTCATCCCCAATAGCAAGGATTATTATATCCAATTTGATATTACAAATCATATAACTTATCGAAAATCCTCTAATGCCTTTCAAATGATGGTAGTTTAAAGATTATATTTCTATCTGCAAATCAACTCTTGGCTGTATGCAAATAGTTAATAAAATTCTTCTAATAAAAATGGAATCTAACTTATTAATAACAATTTAAAATATTTAATTTAGCATTCCATTGTTGGTAAAAATCACTACAATTTACATGATACCCTTTGAAATGAAAATTACAATTTACAACAGAAAATTAGGAAGAAAGTAATAAAATAAATGCATTGTAAATGTGTGTCTGTTTGCATGCAGCTGTGCTTGTGCTAGTGCAAGTAGGTAAGAGGAAGGAACATAAAAAACATTATCTAGCATTTATTATTGCTTTTATTCATTTTAATTTTTTTTCAAGAGCAAGAATCATTATCTATATAAAGGATTAAGTGGGTCCATGTACAACTTTACAGGACTTTTTGGAAATTTAATGGTATCCGATAGCTGGTCAAATTAGGAGGCTTTAGCAACGTTAGTCAGCTAAAATAAAACAGAAAACACATACCTTAATCTTTGTATATCTAATATTTCAAAAGGAGGATATGAATTTCAAAAAAGCATTCCCTATGTATGTATACCAAACACAGAAAAGGGGTTACCTAAAATTTATTTGTAAAAGAAAAGAATCCCTACTATACCATGCTCGATTGAAACATCCAATCTTGAAGTTATCACTATTTTGGTTTCTTCTCCTTCCCTTGGCTGGACTGCAAATCCTTCAGCTTTCTCATCTGCTCTTGTTCCTGTTTAGAAGCACATGCACATTCCCTTTAAGCCAAGGAAATCAGCATGAACATTGTGGCCATCTAATCCCCTTAGCCTTTAATACACCTTGAAAGGACAAAAGCTTATTGTTCAGAAGTAATAAAGCAAGCACAAGTAAGCAAAGAATGATCAGTATAAGCAATGAATTTTAATTTTATTTCTAAAGGTTAAATTCTATCAATGATTTAAGAAAGAGTACACTAGCTGTGCAAGAATCGGTTGTACTTTTAACAAAATTTAAAGAATTTAACATTGCATTGGCCAGATTGAAAATCAATAAACCATTTGTTTTCCCATTTTCTTTACTGTTGTACAAATTTTTTTTTCTGGAAAAAAATTGTAAAATTTGTTAATTATAACTATAACATTAGATCTAAAGAAAAAATTCTTACATGTTAACCCCTACGATCCGGATGGCGATTATCAGGTCATGAAAAAAAATTTGACCTGTGGAATGGGTGCTGTGAACATGCCATCATGAGAAAATCTGACTGTGGGCCAGGGTAATGTCATGAGCATTTCGACTGAAGGCTGGTGTGACGGGAAGGACTCACCACAAGTGCACAAACCTCTTGGAGGGTAATTAGACTTATTTGTCATTCAGAAAGGGGTCTTTATATTATTTTCATCCATAAATGACTGGGATGTCCTGTCCATAAGCCATGACTGGAAGAATGCATCTCTAAGAAAGATTCCAATTGCACACTCTAGATCTTGGCCACTGTGACTACTAGCAAAGGTTGTATCATAGAAAAAAAAAAAGGTTATTATTATTATTATTATTATTGCACTCACTTATGGATGATATATAGTTAAAGCAAATCAAATTAACATAGTCCTTGGAAAATGACAAGAGCTACAATCACATACAGAAAAGGAGAAAACATTGCAAAGAGGAGGCATGGAGTCTTATCATTGCATGAGTGTCCATATGTACCCAGCCTAAAAGTCTCACAGAGTAGCTGCTCAAGTAAGCTTAATGCCCATATTTTGGGCCATGTGATGCCAGTGTACCATCCAGATCTAATGGGTTAAGTGATTATAATTACTAATACTCTACCACTATGTGCAAAGGAATTTTAAAATATTCTCCACTCAAATTACTCTGCAACAGCTTCGTACAAAAACATTTCTAGAAATCGACTGAAAATCAACAGGAGAAAAGTGGGTCTTCAGTAAAAGCACCAAGAACTCCTTTTGCAAATTAGACAGAAGGAAAGAAAAAGCCGAAAGGCCTCCAAACTAACCACAAAAAGCCGGATCTTAAGCTTGACATTTATTTGTTACTATTTATAGTAGTTTAAGATAAATGTCTAAAACTATATATAAATTTCCAGTAAACAATATATTTTGACTTTCCCTACTTTAAAATTTTCTTTTTACATTAAAACAAAAATAATTAAAGATATTCAGATTTGGAAATTTGTAAAAAGCTATAGGACAAACTACTGTATGTTCTGAAAACTTGTCAAGCATCCAGACCCTTAAATCTTAAAGTAAAGACTGTATTATATAGGCAAAGCTTGTATGCAATAGAGAAGCAATGTAGTATGTTGAAAATTAACAACACACACACTAATAACATACCAACTTCCTGAAGTACTGTTCCTCTTGTGCTGCCTCACGCTTGCCAAAGGCGCCACCAGCTTCCCTGATTGTGCCACCACTTCCTCCACCTACACCAGCCCCATCACCTGGCTCACCCTTTCCCATGCTTCGCACACACCTAAAGACAGACCAACTTTATTAAACTTTTGTTTGAATAATGGACAGAGGATTTCAGTATATAGGGTTATTTTCACCACTCTTCTATTATGGTTGGCATTTCTAAATCCCTGTAGATCTATCTTTCATGTGTACATTTTTTGGCTACTGTATTAACACATTAGTGATATTTACCATTTAATATAATTTTGGCTCAAATGATCAAATTTTCTCTCCTCATGCAGAGCAGCAAGCTGCCTTTAGAGCAAAGTCCAGCTCGTGGTAGACAGTGAGCAAATTTTAACAGTATATAACTAATCACAGTCCTGATTTGTAAAATAAGGCAAAGGGAAAAAAATTATTGATTAAAAAGGAGAATAATTTCTTGGTTGATACTTATGATGTGGCATCTTACCAGTAAGAATAATTTAGATTAACATTTATATACCATTCTACAGATATACAGATATGGTTATATGAAATGTCCAAAACTCAAAAACAGGTCTATCAATAGAGCTTCTTCCATAGTCTCCTAGGTCACATTAACATTCTTAACTTTAATATCTTGGT